TTCCTTGTCGTTGTCAAGCGCTGAAGGAAGCGCACCTTCCGGTGCCCGAGAGTCAGCTGCTGTAGAACCACCTTCCCCCACGTTCTCTGAACTGTTTGAGGAAGGGGCTGCAACCAGCGCCCTTGCACCCGAAAAGCCTGTGCCCAGTGCTGCAGTCGATCCTGAGGACGACAAACCTCTGATTAACTTACCTAGCGGACCCAAAGTCTTTAAAGCCGCGCAAACGGGAGACCTTAATGGCTGAAGCAAAGTCCGCGAAGCACCTCCTCAAACACTTCCCTAAAAATCCCTTTTGCCGTATATGTAGCCTTGCTAAGACTACATCGATGAAAGTTGCCAAGAAGCCCGACACCAAGTCCGATGACCTCATCGATGCGCCCACCACGTCCACGTCGTGGCAACAAATCGCAACAAACGATGTTATCATGGCCAGAGGTGACGACCGCAGAGGCATGGGGACAGGGGGGGTGAAGTCACACCACGTTGTAAGGGATGTGTTTTCAGGGGCTAGGGTTGCTTACCCAATGTCTCGCAGGACTCTTCAGAACCACGCCAAGAACTTCAGGCACTTCTTCGGTTTGCGCCCAACCTCAAAGCCTCCGGCTTGTCTTGTCAAAATGGACGAAAAGCTGGAGAGCTTGACGGGGCAGCATCAGAGGTCGGGCTCGTCCCAGAGACTTCCCATGCCGAACAGATGGCCTCATAACTCGGTGCTTGAGCGTGACGTTAGGGAGGAGAAAGAGTGCTGTAGGAGCATCACCTTCAGTCGGGCGTGCCCTACGACTTCCACCCCGGCCCCTACGCATGCCTCTCGTTCTCCTTTGACCGAGCGAGCCACTCCTGACAAGGCAAAGTCACAGTGGGAAGTTCTTACAAAGGCTCCTTTTGAGGGAATCCGTGCGTGTTTTGGACAGCGTGTCTATTACCGCAAGAAGGGACCCTCGACAAGGGCTCTGGATCCGAACCTTCAGCCTGGTTTGTTTTTAGGGTGGCGCCTAGATACAGGTTTGAGGTATAGGTTCGTGACCAAGGTCCTCGATTACATAGAGTTCCGTTCCAAGCGCAACACTTGGGTTGTGGACGTTCCGCAAGACGAGCTCTTTATCGAGGAGGGCCCTCCGGTCTTTCCTGTGGCCAACGCTGATCGCCACGCCCTGGTTGAAGGGGCTGCAGAGGGCGAGCTCCCAGACATCCCACTTAAGCGTCTATATCACTGTTGAGCGCATCATTAAGTTTAAGGAAACCCCTGGGTGTAAAGCTTGCTACGGAAAGGCTACGGTACACACGCCAGAGTGCCGCAAGCGTTTCACGGAACTTGGTTTGAAAGAGCGTAAGGAGAAGGAAGAGCGCCGCTCCCTACCTCCTACACCAGGCAGGCCAGCACCACCAACTCCCGCAGAAACTGTGCCACCGACACCCGCTGCAGAAAGCGTGGCTCCGCCCACTCCTGCTCCTGCGCTGGAAGCGCCCGTCAGGGGGGACGCTGAGGTCTCTTCAGTTGCCGGTGTTGCTGTTACGCCAGCGACAGCAACCAGCACAAAGCTCGCCGAAGCAACAGGTGATCAGCCTCCCGTGTTTGGTGTTCCCGCCGGTGTGTCTGCAAAGCAAGCTCCTCAGCAAAAGCCGGTCTTCCAGAAAGGGACCAACCGAAGGGCACGCAGAGCGAAGGCAAAAGGACAAGGCTTTACCACAGTGTTCGAGTACGACTGCTCTCCCAGTTCAGCTTCTGGCAAAACCAACATTGAGCTTGGTGTCCCACACCTGCGCCTGTCGAGGAAGTTCTTTGACCTCGAAGACAGGTGTGTTCAAGCACAAGTTGCTGACTAAGTTGACGCAGTTCCAAGCGCCCAGCCTTGGGGAGTGCTGCCTAACTTAGTTGGTTATAGGCGTAGGGATGGCGACGCCGCTAAAGGAAAGTGGCTATAGCTCAGCTTGTAAGGTTTCGCGACAGGTTCCAAGCCTTCACTTCTCACGCACGTCACGCGTTGCAGAAGGGCCATGGGTGTGCCCTTGTCTGGCTTAGTAACTCTGAGTGTTGGCGTCGCCCTGTCGTTAAGGAGTTCCTCTCCGAGCACAAAGACACTTTGCACAAGGTTGAAGTTCATGATTGTGACTTTGGTTGGCTTCATGCCTCATCTAGGTTTGACACCAGCTCAATTTGCTTAGTTGAGGTGTTTGGAAGGTTCTAGAAAGAGCATAAAGTTGAAGTGTGCTCCAAGAACAAGGGTGTTTGTTACACAGCATGTGCCAACAGACATGCCCGCGCTTCGTCGTCACATTGGTGTTGGCTCTCAATCACAATGCACAGACACCAATTGCACCTGCCATGCCAGTTGTCCCAATGCAAGAACAGCAAGAGCATCGCACAAAGGAGCAAGCTTTGAGGCACGTCTCAACACTTGCAGGTCTTGAGGACTTCGCCGCTGTGGTGGAAATTGACCCGACCACAACCGCATCGTGGAGGAGATTGCGGACCTGAATGTCGCAAGCTGGGATGGAAAGCAGTCCAATCCTGAGGTTGCCGCTATGGTTACCAAGGTTTTTTCGCGCGCAGAGATGCTCGCCAGTCCGGAGACTCTAGCGGCTCTTAGGAGCGAAGCCGATGGCCTCAAAGCCGTCCCCGTTTGGGACGAGAACAAGTCCCGTGAGCTGCAAAAGGAGGCTAAGAGCTCCAGGGCTAAGGTTCACTTTGGTAGGTTAATGACTATAGTTTCGATTAAGTTCTATGAGCTGGCCAAGCACCTGCAAAAGCTCAAAGGGCGTATCGTCTATTGGGGTGACTGTGCAAAAGACGAATATGGGGCAGCTGCTGTGTACCAGGAGTTGGGAGCCAATCCCACTTCTGTACAGGGGCGAAACAATTGCCTGGCGTGGCGCCCTTCAGGGGCATGCCACGACCACGGCAAATGCGATTAAGGCATACGTTCAGGCGTTGCTGAAGTCGACGCATCAAACGTGGATCGAGTTTCCTCCCGAACTCCGCCCGAAGTGGTGGAGGGAGAAGTTCGCCCGGCCCGTTGTGTTGCTACTCCGTGAGCTCTACGGCCACCCTGACGCAAGGGGCCTGTGGGAGCAACACTTAGCACACATCATTAGGGGCCTTGGGGGCAAAGAGGTTCCAGAGTTTCCTGGAAACTACTGGTTCCCAACTCGCAGGCTTTTGCTATCGACATACGTCGACGACCTGACGTTGTCAGGGCCAGAGGCATAGCACCAAGCCTTCTGGGACGAGCTCACCGCTCTCATCGATGTCGAGGCTCCTGAGCCCGTGTTCCGTGCTTTGGGGCGCAACCACTACATCAGACCTCTACCTATCATTGACAGGGGCTAAGAGAAGCTAAAGAGTGCCCAAACGGCCTTCTGCCCTGAGGGGTCGCTTCCGCCATCTGATGACGAGGTCTTAGGTGAGGCAGCGCCCGCTGCCTGTAAGTCGCTTATGAAGGCATTATGGTTGGGTCGCCTCCAGATATCATGAAACCCATAGGTGACTTGGCAACCTGCGTTCAAAAGTGGAGTCGCAACAACGATCGCCAGGCACACCGTCTCATTTGCTACATAAACAGCGCTTAGTGGGGCACGTCAACGACAGCTCAGATGACCTCCAGCTGTCTTTGTATGTAGATGCTGATTTTGCCGGCGAGAAGGCTCACGCACGCAGCACCTGAGGGGTCATTTAGTTCTTTCAGGCCCTAATATTTTTTTCCCCTTTAGCTTGGGTTAGTAACACGGAGTCTGAGATAGTATCGTTGGCTCACTCACTTTAAAGTGACGGACTTCCCGTGTTAAGCTTGTGGGATACGCTTCTTGGCAGAACCATGCAGATGACAGTGCAAGAAGACAACCAAGCCACGATCATAATAGCTCGTAAGGGTTTTTCACCCAAGCTAAGCCACATCTCGTGGACACACAAAGTGAACTTGTCTTGTCTCGCAGAGCAACTTGAAGAGGGCTTTGGTGTTGATATCTCCCACATTGACACCAACTTCAAGCAGCAGACATCTTCACGAAGCAGCTTCCACCTGCTAAGTGGGATAATGCGATCCGCTTGTTGGGGCTAAGCACCAAGATGCCCAAAGAGCTTGTTGACAAGCGCGTGTTGTCATCAAAGCCACGAGCAGCGCCCAAGTCTTCTAAGAAGTAGAGGCTGCAGTTTACTCATAGCGCCCAGTCACTTGTGACAGGGGCAGCTTGGTTGCGCCAATCGGTCTTGAGTTGATTGGTGTGATTCCAGAAATGCATCCCAAAGATGCGCCTGTTATCGTTTGATTCTAAATCGCCAGTCCGAGCGAGTAAGGGGGGCAGCCTTTTTGGCGCCCGCAAGCTGCGAAGCGCAAGCGCTCGTGCCGCAGCCACCACTCGCACGCCCTCACTCCCGGCATGAAGCCATTTTGGCGTCGGTTGAGAGGGCCCCAGCCAGCCACACTACAATGTGCACGGCGAGGGGGGGGTTAAGAAATATCGACCCCTAAGCACCTAGTAGTGGTGTAGTAAAGCATAGCTTCTAGCTTCTAGGTCTCACGCCGTATGCTGCAACAAACATGTTTCACTTCAGAACAATGGTTGCATTTGGGTCAAGACATGACAGATAAAAGAGCGCCTACGTGCATCCTCTGCGGTAGGCCTCGTCGGTTGGGTTGTGTCTTGTTCAGTTTAACTTCCTTACTTATCTTGGCCGGAAGGTGCTAGGTGGCAGTTCGATTGTTCACCGCCACTCTATCAAAGTTTCGCGACTGCCCATCTCTATCTGAATAGCATATTCTCGAACAAAAGCTTTTTTTGAGCAGGTCGCAGCTCCTTGTGTGCCTATAATTCTACGTTGCTACATTACTGTTACAAGTGGATGATGCGTGCTGGCGGTTGTCCTTGCGTCGGAGCTACCTGTAGATTTCACAAGGTCATTGTAGTCTTAGTATGTGTTAGTTGGCCTGCAGCCCAGGCCAAGCTTGTGCAGCCCTGAGGGCTTTTCCGGGCATGCGACGGTCGCCTTCGATGATGCGTGTATGTTCGCTCGAATTCGGCCTCATAGATTCGGACGCCCTGACTTTAATTCGCGCTCTCAACGTCGTTTTCACCCTGAGGTCCAGTTGCAAGCGCAGTGGGAGGAACGGTTCGCAGAGGTGCCGATTCAGAGCCAATCCTCTCTGCATATGGATTCAGTCAGACTATGCCAGACTGCACGAAAGATGCGGCACGGACGCGGATCTGTTGACAGGCAGTGTCCTTCTGGCAAAAAGCATGGTCTACTACGGCTGCAGCGGTGAAAGATTGTAACACTCATTGCGCTGCAGCCTCACTGAATTGCACGGTCGGTCTTGGCCGGCCGCGAATTGATCATCAATTGCCGAAGGTCAAGCTCAGCGAGGTGTTGGAAGCATCTTTGGATGAACTTGGCCGGATGCTGTGCGAAGTTGCGGCGGCACGTCTCGACTTGCTCATGCATGATCGGCATGTCGCAGGTCACAACAGTATGGAGGTCACGTCTTTGACACGCAGACTGCAGGTGCTGGAGGCATGTGTACACAAAAGTTTGCGTGCTAAGTCGTGTTTTCGCACTGAAGCTTACAGGAGGCTGTCGGTCTTCCTCAGAGGCCTGGGCCACCCAGCACACGACGTGTCTAATGTCGGATGGTATTTGATGTCCGCAGGCGATCGGAGCTCGCAGGGACCCTTTTCTTCGTGCGTGTTGCAATTGTCTCTGGTGCTGCTAAGGCTGCTGAGCCGTCTAATTAGAGCGAAGCAGCACCGGACGAGGCTGCCAGCCAGGAAGACAACGAGGCATGAGAAGATCTGTGCGGTCTAAGCGGGTTCCAGCTTCCGCAAAATGCTTCGACTGTTCCAGGTGGCACTCGAAACTCTTCCCAGGACTCGCATCCGCCTGGAAGGCTTGCGTGCAGCCCGTGAGATTGCACGCTTGTGGCTCTGTGCAGTCTGAACAGCACGGCAGCACGGCAGGCCTCAGTGGGACCAGTGATAGCTTCAAGCGCTTGTCAAACGAGCGACGTCCTCGGCCTCACGCGGAGTTTCGAGCCAACCTTTGACAGTCGACTGGCTGCGAATGCGCTTCGTTGCTTCTGAGGCTGGCCCGGTTCGAACACGAGGAGAGAGATGCAGTTGAACCAGTGCCGTGAAACATGCAAGGAAGGCACATGCTTGGTGAATGCTTTGGAGGTGTCGGCACATTCGCAGAAACTTCTATCCGTTTCTCGCGTGACAATGACGACGGATGATTGTCTGCTGAGGACTCGGAGCGTCCGCACCATATTTAAGCATATCTGGTTACTGCTTGTCCGACAGTTGCGATAATTTGACAGGATGCCTCCGCGAACTGATGTGACACTATTCAGATAAACACCGTTCCTTCCAACCTTGTTCACTTCTTTTGTAATCCTCGGCGTACCCCAGGCCGGCACACTGTCAGACCGATTCGTTTGTGGGGTGCTCAGTGGTTATGTGGCGGTCCAGTGTTTCAGCTGCCGACGCGCTACTGCGAGATGCTGTGCAGATGGACGACATGGCCAGCGATCTAAGCACGTCTGCGATTGCAACTGAGGCAGATTGGCGCAATCTCAATGCAATCAAGCTGGTAACCCAGACTCCGGCCAGTCGTGAGTCTTTGGTGATCACCTCAACTGTGCAAGGCAGGCTCCTTCCGTCGGACCGGTGGCCTCTTCGCGACCGTGGCCAGAGCGATCTGAGCAGACACTCGGCTCTTGTGAGGCATACAAGCCCAAGTCACAGACAACTGCTGGAGCATTGCCACCCGCAGATTGCCTGCAGGACCGCCTCATTCATGGATTCATGGTGACTTAAGTTTCCGCCTGCATGATGAAAGGCCAGCAAGGGTGACAGAGTTCAACCTGGAGCTGGGTTGTCGCCTCATTGCTCACCAACGTCACAAGAGCCGTCGGGTACCTCTCCCCCTTTTAATCTGAGGCTACTGCCGAGGGCAGCAGTAGGCGGCATACCTGCTGCCACAGAAGTTTCGCAGGTCCAGGTCCCGTCAGATCAGAGGCACGACGCCTCGACTGGGAGGACCTGAAGTGCGTGAGATTGTACATCTCACATCCAGACGCATCGCCTTGCCAATGACAGATCAAAAAGCACACAGGGGCAACTATGGAAGCGCCTGGGGCACTCACCAAATGCGTTTCCTCAGTGCTTTTGGCGTTTGCTTCCTAGCTTTCATGGGGCGGTCATCAATCGAGACGTTTGCTTGGATGAGCTAACACAGAGCGAAACTGCGAAACCGCACAAGCGATGACGAGCCTCCTTCCTTGCGACAGCCAGTCCTGGCAAAAGCCGTTTTCGCAGCTGGAAACACGACGCGATGAAGCCGGGCCTTCGACTATAGGGATGCTCCTGTCAGGTCCTTCGGCCATGCTGGGAATAACTGAATAACTCGGTGGGAAATTAATGAAGGGGCGAAAGTCTTGCCTTGGGGCTCATTTCCTCAACCTTGCCGTGGGCCCCTTGATTTTTCTTGTTAGGTGCTCTGGCCTCGAACCTATGTATGTTCTCTCATCGTGGCATCGGTTTTCCGACGCTGGCTCGGACTTCTCCAGAGTTGCATGAGCTACTGTTGCCGGGACAAGCGCCAACATAATATCGCCAGAAAAGCCACCGTCACTAGTTCCGCAATCTGACCGTTCCATGCTCGACACTCGAAAGCCAGCAAATCCCAAAAGCATCGGAACATCAAACGAAAAACTGGAGAACACCAAACTGGCCGATGCTGCACAAGGCGTATTTTAGCTGCATGCAAAGATCATTTTGCATTTTGACATGGAGTCGTTGCGACAACGGCATGCTGATTCCTGTATCACAGGCAGATGCTAGCGGCAAAGATTCCACGTCACATGACCACGCATAGTTGAGCCATGCCAAGGTTTGCTCTCAGATGTACCTAGCAACTGATCAAGGCAAGCCATCTACACAACGTAGCTCAAGTCATGAGAGTAAGCAAAGGTGTGCACAAACAGCAAGACTGCTGTGGGTGCGTCGACTCAGCTAGTTATTTTCAAAGACGCCATGTCGGAGGAGCCACCTGTCATCGCAAATGGAGCAAGCGCCGGAAGCCCCAAGGCAGAGCACATAGCGCCGGCGGAGATACCAGAGTCACAGGATCAGGAGAGCAAGTCGAAGCTCAAGCCGGGGGTGGTCACAAAGGGGCGCAAGTCTGGCAACCGGCCAAAGAAGCCCCAAAGCAGAACCGAGACAGCTCGGAATGGGCTCATCAGAGCCGGTGGAGCTGGAGGCCCTCATGGCTTCTTGCACCAAGGCATAGCTCTGCCAGAGTCGATGTATTTGCAATGGATGCATGGGCCTTGGGCGGCGTGGCCACCTTTGGGTGCACCTTGCCATCCTTTGGGCCTTCGTCCATTTTCACAGGTGCAGTACCCAGCTTTGGCGTGCGGAAGTGCGCATTCACGGGTGCCGACTTCAAAGGCCTCGCAAAGCTTCATCCAGGCACAGTGCCCACCAGTGCAGCTGCAGCGCTTGCATCAGTTGGCCCTGGCTAGTGGACAGCATCCATCCCCGGCATGCCCATCGAATCACACGTCTCCTGCGTCCGTGTGGGAAGTCTTTGTTGGCAATCAGGAGAAGGGCTGTGCTCCGAACGAATCCTGGAAGTTTCAAAGCTCCTCCAATTCACAGAGCTCCATTGAGGGCCTGCTGAGGCAATACCTGGTCTCGTCAAGTATGCTGCGCAAGGATAACTCGACCAACTGCGAAGCTGCCTCAGAATGCAGCACGGCAGACACGACCTCTTCCTGGACAGCATTCCATGCGGACGACGTGGCTTTGGCCGAACAAATTGCGGCCGTGCTGATGGACCGTGAAAATGTCAGCTTGCCGGACACCGCCGATGTTTCGCCGTCAGTCGTGCCAAGCTGATATTTTCCAAGAAAGGCTTCAGGAGCGCCGGCATTCGATGTAGAATCCGTTGGTGTCACGAGCAAGAGGCGAGTGTCCTGTGCCAGGAGTTTGGTGGTCAAGCCTCGGTCGTAAACGGTGTCCCGCTTGATGGCCGTTGGTTCTTCTTCGTGTCGCTAGGCATGGACACACCGTGGACGTTTCCTGCTACACTTTATGACGGAAGGCACCTGCAGCTGAAAAAAGTCACCATGCTGTTGGAACCGCGGTAAGATATCATGAGATCTTTGCAGAAGACGGGTTCGTTCTGCAGCACATTAGAATGCACATGGCTGCACGAGCTTTGTTCCTGTGCTGAAGCTTGCTTGGCTCAGAGTGTTCAGCTGTGTCATATGGTGGCCGACATCATGGTAGTGGCATGCACTGCGAGCTACGTACGGCGATTACCGCGGTGTAGCCACTGACAAGATCAGACCCAGAAGAACCCTGGTAGTTTCTGCAAAAACTATGTCTGGACATGGTGCGACGTTCCAAGGAACCAGACTTGCTGTCTTGGGAGTGGGCGGCTCGGATCAAAGCTGCCTTGCGATCTGACCCCACAGAGCTTGCAACTTTTCCCACCATTTCCGCATAAAGTTTAACACACCAGGATGTGCAAGAGCATGCAGATCCGCCTTTTCAGTTCCAGGACAAAGGCTTGATCGAAAGCTCCTTGCCTGCTACTGCAGCAGTTGCCTTGTCCGTTTTGAAGCAACACGTGACCATGACCATCCACACGCCTCACTCAGTCTTGAAATCCAGGTGACAATGTCAGCAAGTGTTCGGTAAGAGCCGACAGAGCCGGCTGTCCCCGCGTGCAGGCTTGACATTGCCATATCCGCATGCAACCCTGCTACTCGGTTTTTGGGTTGATCGACGCTCGATATGGCTGACTAAGGCTTGGCCGACCATTGACCAATTGCATTGCTTGCTGCATTGCTTGCTTGAAGCTCTTGCGGTACTCCGGCAGAAGCTACGTTGCATGTCCTGCCGGATCTTGCCCGTGGGCGCGCGTTCCTCACTAACACTGGCCAGGAAATGCTGGCATTCGAGAGGTTGATGGCAGCAAACAAGAACCGCGGTAAGATCCAGCTCAGGTGCAAGAGCCCATCTTGTTTGGAGTTGAGTTCTGGTGTGAGGCTTTAGCATGGTAGGTGTGTGTGTGTGTGTGTGTGTGTGAGTGTTAGGGTTGAGCTTTGGGATCGTAGGATGGCCCGGCAGGCCGAAGACACAACGACAACAACATGCACTTGAACCCTTCCCTAACACTGTTAGCTGACACCGTGTTTCGGACGGCTCGAAGCAAATCAAAGTGCTTGAATCCTTCCCCTTGAGGGTTTCGCCCTTGGTCGGAAGGCAGCATGCAGATCCGCTGTTCACTTCAAGGCTGTTTGCGGTCAGAGCACTTCCGAGCCTAGGCCAAAACAAAGGTTTGATCGAGAGCTCCTGACCCGTACAGTTGACATGTCCACCCTTGTGCAACAACGTGACCATGACCCTTGGCTTGCACTTGCTCGTGAAAAGTGTCTCTGCAGGGCCAACAGAAGGGGGTGAAGGCTCTGCTTTGAGATGAATGCCGTGGCCTGAGCAAGTTGCCATGTCTACACTTAAGCAACACTCACTCACTCACCCCGATTCTTGGGGTTGATTTCAGAGCGAGGTTTGCTTACAGGCACGAATATGGGGCTTCGCCTTGACCGGCAGGGCGCCTCCACGAAGCGCCGATTCATCCGCGAAGGTTCAAGCTCAATGAGGGTTTCGCGTGTTAAGTGAATTGAGATGTTAGCACGAGCCGCCGACAAGTGGTGTGTCCTGGACCGGTTTTGTGGTTTAGGGTTCAGGGTTGAAGTTGTTTTTGCTTAGTCCAGGTGTAAAAGGGTTGAGGTTGTTTAGTTGGGTCTAAGTTCGCTGAACACTTCGGTGTGTTTGATGGAGCTGTTCAGTGTGTAGTTTTTTGATCAAGGTGTTAGGGTTAGGGGTTGGTTGTCAAGTGTTTGAGATAAAAGGGTTGTCAAGCAAGGGTTTCGGAAGAGTACCCTTCCTGTTATGTTCGAAAGCTTAGGGCTACAGCAAACGCTTTGAGTTACAAAAGCTGAGCGCTGCTTGGAGTAACTGGAGCGGCTCCGTCTCGGAGCCGACTCCAAACAAAAGGACCGCCGTTAGCCAGAGCCACGGTTTAGGGTTTAGGGTTTAGGGTTTCAATTTACTTAAACCCTCGCGGGGGTCAAACCCTTCAATTTACTTAAACCCTCGCGGGGGTCAAACCCTTCAATTTACTTAAACCCTCGCGGGGGGTCAAACCCTTAGGGTTTAGGGGTTTAGGGTTTATTGAGCTTGCTTCGTGTGCGGGGTGCGTTTTTGAGAATATTAAACTGGGGGTTTTTTTTTGGGTTTTTTTTGGGTTTTTTTTGGGTTTTCGGAAGTTTTTTTGAATTTTCCGAGTTTTGTTTGGGTTTCGGGTTTGCTAAACCCTGAATTTAATAAACCTTACTTGGGGGTTTGCTAAACCCTAGATTTTCGGTCCTGGCCCTTAATTTTCAGCTTCGGGCCCTTAATTTTAGGCTCCGGGTCCTTAATTTTAGGTCCGGTCTTGGCGCGGTCCTTAATTATAAGCTCCGGGTCCTTAATTTCCGGCTGCGGGTCGTCAATTGTAGGTTTTGGTCCCGGGGGTTTGCTAAACCCTAGGGTTTGCTAAACCCTGAGCTTGCTTCGTGTGCGGGGTGCGTTTTTGAGAATATTAAACTGGGGGGTTTTTTTTGGGTTTTTTTTGGGTTTTTGGAGGTTTTTTTGAGTTCGCGAAGTTTTTTTGGGGTTTCGGTGGCTAGGGTTCTAGGTTTTTGGATCGGGTGTTGGGTTCTTGGGGGCTTTGGGGGGTTTCCGGGTCCTGAATTTTCGGTAATTAACCCTGAATGGGGGCTTGCTAAACCCTAGGGTTTGCTAAACCCTAAATTAGAGTTAAATAAACCCTGCATGGGGGTTTGCTAAACCCTAGGGTTTGCTAAACCCTAAATTACGTTAATAAACCTTGAATGGGGGTTTGCTAAACCCTAGGGTTTGTTGAACCCTGAATTAAGGTTTAATAAACCTTGAATGGGGGTTTGCTGAACTCTAGGGTTGGTAAACCCT